CATATCTGCCATGCCTAAAGATTAGTGTGAACACTAATTAGTAATGACATATGTCAAAAATAAAATAAGTTTGACCTTGTGCTCCCCTGTGTGACTTCCCAGAATGCTGGGATCAGAAGTACGCCATTACACTCAGCTACATATATTTTAAACCATAATAAGAGAAAGATAATTGGTACGCAGTACAGAGACCAGTCTCGAACTCAGCAGGGACACCAGGCTGGCCTCAAACTCACTGAGATCTTCCTGGGTCAGCCTCCGAAGGGCTGTGATCAGAGGTATGCACCACAGAACCTCACTCCTTCCTAATGGATTTCTGTAAATCCTAAACTAATCCTGTCGCAACTTGCTAACATGCTTCAGTAAATTCCAATAGCTTCCCCCAGCTTGCTAATAATAATAATAATAATAATAACAATAATAATAACTGCATCTTTACAACCAATGGTCTTTCTCCTTCTGGACTTTGCTTAACGTAATTTGTTACATGTTATCACTATTATTTGGAATCTTCCCTACCACGGGCTCGACTATTATGGAAAAAGATGAGTCAACAGTTTGGCTCTGACATCAAACTCCTGTTTCTCCATGGGAACGTGTACTAGGCCAGCTTTTCTTCATCCCTCTGAGCTTGGATGGGGCTAATGACTCACTTTAGTCAGTGGGCAGCAAGGGAAAATGGTCACTTGCTGGCCAGGACATGTCCTGCTTGACGGAGGGCCTGAGCTGTGCTTTCCATGCGGTGGTGGACCTTGTTCACCTGAGTGACTGATCCGTGGCTTCATACTCTGATGTAATTATAATCAGATCTCTCTTGCTGTGATACACAAATAACATAGCCAAAAATAAGAGCGTTACATTAAGTCACTCCTATTTAAGGTTGTTTGTTGCTGCCGAACGTCCTAGGGTGACTTGTTATGTTCAATATTTTGACATATGTCATTACTAATTTAGTGTTCACACTAATCTTTAGGTATGGCAGATATGGACAACATTTTATAAAGGAAGTTCTGAAAAGTAGGGAATTTTCACAAAGTCTTTTGGTTTTGTTTATATTTTCCTAATCTTTTTATTTATTTAATTATTTGTTTGGTACAAGGTCTCATTATGCAGCCTGAACTCCCAGCACTGGGATTACAGATGTGTGCCATCATGCCTGGTTTTGGGGCTGCCACAGCACTCCCAGCATGAGGTACTAAGGATCGAACCCACGACTTTGCACTTGCCAGGCAGGCACTTAGACTGCCATGCCACCTCCCCAGCACACACCATCGACTTCTAGGTTTACGCATTGTTTCAGTCAGCTAATACTAGGAGAATGTTATATAACAGACAGTGCGCTGGGTAGTCACGCTACAGCAGGAAAGGAAAGATGAAAGCTTCTTCATTCACAGAATATATGTTCTATTGAAGAGAAAGATAAAAATCACTTAAAACTGCGACATAGTTTGGGGCTGATATGTAGCTCAAAGGTAGAGGATTTGACTAATATGCATGGAGTGAGGCTCTGAGTTTGATGAGGAAGACAGACAGACAGACAGACAGACAGACAGACAGACAGGCATCTACAAATGCATACTCTCTGGGGGTGACAACAATAAGTTGTATTTAGAGAAGTAAAATCAAGGTAATATGGCATGGGAAAATGTGTGGCTATTTAAGTTGACGAACAGAGTACTCTCAGCCACTTTTGGCAACTTTTAGTCTAAGATCTAAATGTTAATAAAAATCCACCCATGTAAGTATCAAGACAAAAAGGCTTTTGAGAAGGGGCACTAGTGCATGCAAAGAACTGATGAGAAAGAAACCTGCTCAGTGGTAAGGCTCAGGGTCAGCAGCTCACAATGAGGAAAAAGGGAAATGACCCAAGATAAAGACAGAGAGGCACAATGAGGGAAGCAGTCAGTGTTTTACATCAAAATTAAAAAGTATGATTTGATTTCCTGTGTGATGAGACATACAGGAGTGTTTTAGGTGTTTGTATGATTTCTATTTTTTTCAAGATTGCTCTGACTATTTTGTGAAGAATGGATTACACTGGAATCAGATTAGAGCAGAGGCCACCGCAGATGTCCCCTGAGGTGGTAACAGGGGACAGAGGGAGGAGTGCGCAGACATGGGAGATGGTGTGAAGAATACAAACAGCAAGACTAATGACACAGCAATCAAACATATCCACCATGGAGGAAAATTAACCCAGTAGAACCCTTGAATGTCCATGTTACACTGAGCAGGTAGTAGTCTCGCTTGCTCATATGGGAAACATTTTAAGTACGTAATGTTTGCAGGTGTGAAAAGAGATTAAGAGATCTGTCCTACACATGCTGCACATGAAATGCTTCCTTAAACATCTATATGTCGATGTCAAGTTGAATGTATGACTCGGAAGCTCTGGAGACACATTGGAGCTGGAAATAGGAATTTAGGTGCTCAGAATAGTGGAATCCTGCAAAAGGCAAAAATTTATGGAAGTACCAAAAGAAATACAGGTACACAGGAGCAGGAGGATAGAGCTCCAGGGCACGCTCACCTTTCAACTGTCAGCACGGGAAGACATGTCCATCTAGACATGCTAAGCAGGAGAAGACACTGAGAAAGAGGAAAAGCAGGAAGAGAATGCTCAAAAGCCAAGCGAGGACTCTTGGTGAGGTCGATGTGTTAAATACTCCACTCAGGGCTGCGAAGATGAGACATTAGATTTAGGAAAATAAAGCTCACAGTGACCTTGGTAAACAAAGGCCTGCAGGGGTTTGAGCAGGACAGGTAGGTGAGCAAAAGCATGTGAGGGCAATACCCACAGACAAATTAAGTTTTCCTGTGGAGGGCAAAAGAAACGAGGGCAAGGAGAAGGCAAGTAGGTTTGACAATTTTGTGGCCATTCAAAAGGTCTAATCTGTGGAGCCCCAGCATCTCCATGACGATTTCTGAAATTCTTGAGAGGAGGCAGGGACCACAGAACCTTCTACGTGCATCAGTGGGCTGGGGCAACAGAAGGGCTACGTTATGATGGCTCCCTGCATGACTGCAACGTTCTAGATGCACACCAACCTCTTCTGGAGTCTGCCATACTGATGCGCTTGCCTTCAGTGGAGGAGTGCTCACCCCTCATTAAGAGAAAGTAGAATTTACTACAGATCTAAGAGTCAGCAAAAAGGTTCACAAGGCATGCTGGACAGCAAAACAGTGGAGAAGCCTCACGTTAAACATTCCTGTTTGACAAAGTCCTCTCCTTTCTGCTTCCTTCCAGTCCCTTCCACCTGGGCTCTGCCCCAGTGCCCAGCCTTAGGCTCTCTCACCGCTCCCCCTCTGTCCTCTGCTTCACTCCTTATTTTTCTCACCTTTGTGTTCTCTAATCTTTCCCCTCAGGAAAAATGCACACCCATGCACAACAAAACAAAAATGTGTGTGATGCTGACTTTTTCCTCCTGCACAGCGGTTTATTCTATTTTAGTGAAGGGGTGCTAGGCTGCCAGCGATATCCATGCTGTTGTCTTTTATTCCAAACAGCACATTCTACTTGATAAAATAATTCTGGAGCCCATTCCTCAGAGAATACATGTTCCATCCCGTTCCATACACAACTCCCAGAGGGAGCAACTGTCCCTAACAGGAGTTTAGTAAGCACCAAAACTTCCCTGCCATCCTCAACGAGGACACAAGAGCAGGGTGGCACATTGGTGCCACTTCAACAGGTCTTCATCCTGGTTTAGCAAGTCCCATGATATGGAGGTATTGCACAGGGATGTCACCAGCTTTCTCTCTTCCTGAGGTTATTATAAATTATGAGCTTCACATACTAGTAAGAAGAGACAGAATGATCACCTGTAACTTCACAGCTTTTTACTTCATGTTTGTTTACTGGTCCAAAAGAAATTTGAGCCCTTGAAATACTCAGAACTTGGCATGCTGTGTTCATGAAATCCAGCTCATGTGGTCCTGAAAATTTTAATAATAGTAGAGAGAAGAGAGATAAATGACTGTTGGCCTTAGGAAGCCATCAGAAAATTGCTCCATCTAAGCTCTTCAGCCCCTTCCCTGGAGAATGGCAGCTTGGAAATAGACAACAGTGAATGGCAAAAGAATGTGATAGTTCCACAAACTTCTGTTTTTCTGCAAAGATCATTCAGAAAAAGGCACTAACTGGCCCAACATTCAGAGTAAAGAATGCAGTTTGATATGACAAAGCTATTAAGACAGAGAGAGGGTAAGGGGTCAGGGAAAGGTACAACATGATTGAAATCTGGGGTTCAAGGAACCCCAAACTGGATTATTCTAGGGTGCCAACTGGGCACTTTAATATATTTGATCCAAGCAAAGAGAGACCTGGAATCTGCTCCCTCCCTTAACCAATAGAAAGTTCACCCTTGCAGGCGCATGATCACAAATGCATTGGATCTACAAAGCACATGCCAATGAAGACCCACTCTGTGCACAGAGAGCCAGTGACTGTGGCCTTGGAGCACCTGGTGAATGCTAAGCACAGTGACAGAGGGAGAAGAGCTGGGAAAGTGACATTAAGAAAATATTCAGCAACATAATCTTGGTTGGCTCCCATATGCCCAATCTCTGACCAACAAGTACTCTTGCTACCTACTTCAATACAAGTAGCTATTTATCTTTCTCAAAGTACAATTTTACATAAAAATACTTAATCATAATGGAATGAAAAATAGCTTGAGACTTTCTATTTTTAGAACTGATATCTCTAAGTCCATCATGTTACCATGGGAAACTGGGACTTCAGTTTCAAACCACACCATGCATGTATGCGCGCGCACCCCCCCAACACACACACGCATGCACGGGCAGAAATAGTGGGAGTAGAAATCAATTATGCAGATAAAAATGTCTTGCATTATTAGTTCTCCTTCAAAATGTGAGGGTGAAATTGTGAGAGAATTATTTAAGTGAAGGTGTCTTTGTACACTAGGCAGTAAATGTAACAGAGATACAGTGCAGAGAAGGAAGGAGTTAGGAAAGAATTGCTTCTTGTCTCTCACCTGTACAAGAGAAGTCATCCACGCGAATGTATCCTGGGACACAGTCACAGCGATATAGCCCCGGCAGGTTGACACACACAGTGTTGGCATGGCAATAATGCATCTTAGCTGCACATTCATCAATATCTGATGGAAAAATAAAACCAATATCTGTTTAGTCAAGTAACTGAACCAGAGTGTAATCATCTTACAAGGAAATTACAGAAGATGAATGTTCATTGAGGGCAAGTGATAAAACAAGACATATTAAAAACCAAAACCTAAGCACAAATTAAGTGGTCCATTGGAGCCTATCCAGAGCTGAAAGCATTTCTAGAAAAATGTGTGTGAGATGTAACAGTTAAGGACTCTGGGAGTATGAAGGCAAAATCAATTATTAATTTTTCACCAAGGAGGTCACTGTAGTTAAGTGTTCAGAATCAAGCAGTTCTACGTCCACTGAGTTCATACCAATTAATATTTACTGGGCATCTACAGAACCTGGAAATCTATGAGAAAGGCTAAGGGAATCTAGCACTTCCCTGCTCACAGGTCGAACTGAGACGTGTTTTCATCCACCTGTTGTTACAAAATGATGCTGCCACCAGGTTTTCCTATGTTGTGCCGTGAACAGAGACAGCAGCTGTGTTCCGGTACGAATCAGCGCCTTTCATCCTTTGGCCTGGGGATCCATCTCATGTGACAGAACAATGGGCCGATTCTACAAAAACGACTATTCTCTGTGGCAGAGGGGCGGGGTTTCTTCTTTCATGAAAGCTTATGATAAGAACTAGTAGAACTTACAACTTTTAACAGAAAGTTGGATCTTTCTCTGGAAATTGTTTTGGAAAAACGATTTATGTTCACTTTATGAAAACTGTTTATCAATGATGGATACAGAGTCAGATTACAGCATGGGACTCCCAGATGGAAAAGGTGAGCTCTATTTGTGCTTCTGCCATTTAATAGTGACTTGCATTAACCTTCCTGAGCCCAGTTTGTTTGGCTTGTTCTAAGGTCAGTTCTGAGTATGATGTTCTGTATCTTTGAGGGCATTGGCCAACTTGATCCACATGCAAATCCATGAACAAACCACAAGCACTTGTAAATTTAGAAAATTGACGTTCAGAGATGTTAAACATCTGACACAAAATCACCTCATTCAGATATGCTGTGCTTTGGATTTGAACTCACAGACCAATGTCCTATTCATTACAGTTTACTTCATGAGCACACACTAAAAATGGTAATTAGTCAAATACTGTATTTCAATAGTCACTAATGTCTTAATATTCTTAATTAACAGAAAGAAGGATAAAAATGACTCTATGGAGTCACTAGAAAATTCATTTATCTATTTATTAAAAGAAAAGTAAGGCAATTTATTTCCTGACAAAACACACTGATATAACAGCAGGCTGATCTTGGAGTTAAAGACGTGTCAGGCTGTAAGTAAAAGTTACTGTTGTGTAATTGAGATCTTAAAAGGAGACCTACAATCGGCAAGAGTCTCATAACTCTTATATAAAGACAAAATACCAGAAATTGGTGACAGGACTCAGCTAGTCAACAACTTCCTGTGTGCTGGTCTCCATCCCAGGGCTGCTTCCAGGGACCTGACCTGCAGTCAGAATCCCAAGGGAAACAAGGAATTACTGTAGTGCTGGTGCTCAAACACCTGAGCTAAGAAATGAGTAGGTGAATCACAGTGTGATCTACTTGACGTTAAGATTAAGGTCTTTAGTTTGACTGTACAAGAGGGTAGAAGAACAAATTACTGGGAGTGACAGGGTAGATATAGCAAGAGCGGTCAGGTCTTGGGAACATTTGTCCTGGATTGTTGCTGGCCAAAAAATATGACCCATTTCCACCCAGCACAAATGAATCCGCAACCCTTTTCTAATATAGCTCTGACCATATGATTGAGCATGAAATCTGAGTGGAGGCTTAGCACTTCTAGGTGAAAGGGTCAGAGCCAGATCTGGCTTACTGTATTTTCTATTTCTACCTTCCCCCTTGTGCAAGTGAAGAGTTATATACTTCTTCCTGTTGGCCTGGCTGAGAAACGGGCCACCGGACAAGCACAAGCAACCTGTTATGACCTAGAAATGTATCCTTGCTGAGCTAAGACATTCAGGCTCCTCTGACTACTGCAAAGGTAACTATAAAAGGTAACTCAAAGAAAAGGATGATGAAGATTGATCTTAAAAAGCAAACAAGAATTCACAAGTAGAGAATCAAGGTGGGGAGTGCACCAAAGGGTGGGTCCAGCAAGGCATGCAGTGTCAGGGATCTAACCCTGACCCCTGAGCTTACCCAAGCAAGCGCTTAGTCCATTGAGCTATACCGCCAACCCTGTTCAAAGTTTTATAGCAAAAAGAAATACCCTTGCTGCCACGTTCTGGGAACCCCCAGACCTAGTCCTAGCCCAGGTCTGGTGAGTGTGTCAGAGAGATTCCAGCTACCCTGCACTGGTAGGACCAACTACAGGTCCCAGCCCAGGCGCAGCTTGGGTGAGACCATTTTCTACCCCCTTGGAACGCGCCCCCACCGCTACTCAGCACCTCTCTCAACCCACAGGCTGAGTAGGAATTTCTGCCGCTTTCCGGGAAACCCCAGCCCTAGTCCAGGTCCAGTGAGTGTGTGGGAGAGCTTCCTGCTACCCTGCGCCCATGGGATCGACTATGGGTCCCAGCCCAGGCAAAGCGTGGGTGAGACCACCTTCCACCCCCTTGGGACTGCTCCCACCACTCCACAGCACATCCCTCACCCTGCAGGCTGAGTAGGAATTTCTGCCTCCTTCCAGGAACACCCAGACCCAGTCCTAGCCCAGACCCAGTGAATGTGTGGGAGAGCTGCCTCTCCCCCTTACCTCACGTTGTCCCCTCCCGGCTCAGCTCAGGCCTGGCTTACATGCCTGGGGTGTAACCCTGAAACTACAATCCCTGCAGAGAGTATAGAGGATAGAACCACCCAGCTAGTGCAGGAGAAGAACATCTTGCCACAGGGGCACAACAGGTTCACCAACAAGGGCAGCAGCATGAAGGAGCTGAGCACAGCAGCCAGATGCAAGCCAGGCACAGCTGGATAAATCCAAACATTTTAGACCTGCACCTGAACTTCAGTACATGCTAAGGTTATAACTATAATGAAGATCTACAACAAAGGTCAGAAGACAGTGCTACATGCAGGCCCGGCCAGTGAGTGAGACAACCCAGGCCTTCCGGATCCTGAATAGACCCAGAGCGCAGGCCCAGCGAGTGAGTGAGACGACCCAGGCCGCGGGATCCTGAACAGACCCAGAGTGCAGGCCCAGTGAATGAGTGAGACGACCCAGGCCGCAGGATCCTGAACAGACCCAGAGCACAGGCCCGGCGAGTGAGTGAGATGATGGAACACGGGATCCTGAATAGACCCAGAGCACAGTCCTGATGAGTGAATGAGACAATCTGGGGCCCGGGAATCCTCATTTGACCCAGGCTGCATGCAGGCCCAGCACGGAACCCTTCAGCAGAACTCCCTGCAAAGAGGCTAGAGGCAAGACCCACCCAGCTGATTCAGGAGCAGAACATCTTGCCAGAGAGACACAA